TCCTCCTGGAGCTGGAGCTGCTGAGGGCGTTCGTGCTGAGCCTGCTGCTGTTGGTCCTGCCGCTGGAGGTGTGGGTGGCGCTGGTGCTGTCGCTGAGGGTGCTGGTGCTGTCCCTGCTGAGTCTGGAGCTGCCGCGCAGCCTCGGCCGTACTTCGTTCCGCTCCTTCAGCAGGTTCTTGGTCTTTCTCCTCCAGTAGAGGGTCCACCGCCTGTCCAGTCGCAGCCCCTACTGGAGCCTTCCTCTCCGCTGCCTGCTCCCTCTCCTTACACTGGTCCTACTGGAGGTCTTGCTGAGCGTCGTGAGCCTGCGTCTCGTCCCGCGTCGCCTGTTCGTGCTGCTCGCGCTAGTGGTCGCAGTTCGCGTCAGCGTCCTCCTCCTGTCCCTGGCACGCACCGGATGTCTTTACGTCCGTCCACTGCTCCTCTGCGTGCCCCTTTGCCTTCTCCTCCTGAGTCCTCTCTTCCTGCGCTTGCGGACCTTGAGTCGGACTCTCTTCGTGCTGCCAGTCCCACTGTCACGCGTCTGCTTGCTACTGTCGTCACTGACCCCTCTTTTGAGTCCACTGCTGCGTCTGCTCTAGTCGCTGAGCTCGTCGACTTTGCTGCTCGCTGTCGTCTCGACTACGCTGCTAGTCTTGTTGCTGAGTCTGCGTCTGTCTGTCCTCCGTCCGTCGGGGGTGAGTGTGCTCTTGGCACGGACGTCCTACAGGACAGGCAGGAGGAGTTACAGTGTCTAGCGGCTGCTTCACCTCATCTCGCGTCTGTACTGCTTGCCCCTGAGGGAGACCCGGATGCACTAGACATCCCGACTCCGCGTTCTTACGCGGAGGCCGTAGAGGGTCCCTACTCCTCTCAGTGGCAGGCAGCTATGGATGCAGAGATGGCTTCCTGGAAGTCCACAGGCACCTACGTTGACGCGGTTCCCCCTCCTGGGGCGAACATCGTCAGTGGCATGTGGATCTTCAGGGTGAAGCGGCCGCCGGGCTCTCCACCTGTCTTCAAGGCACGGTACGTTGCTCGTGGCTTCAGTCAGCGGCAGGGAGTTGACTACTTTCAGACCTTCTCTCCCACCCCGAAGATGACTACTCTTCGGGTGCTGCTGCACATAGCCGCTCAGCGCGACTACGAGCTTCACTCTCTCGACTTCAGCACTGCGTTCTTGCAGGGTAGCCTGCACGAGGAGATCTGGCTTCGCCGTCCACCTGGCTTCACTGGGACTTTCCCTCCTGGCACCTAGTGGAGCCTCCGACGGCCAGTCTACGGTCTCCGCCAGGCACCGCGTGAGTGGCACGACACACTGAGGACTACGCTTGCGGCTCTTGGGTTTGCTCCTTCTACTGCTGACCCGTCGCTGTTTCTTCGCACCGACACTTCCCTGCCGCCGTTCTACATCCTCGTGTACGTCGACGACCTGGTCTTTGCCACAGCGGACACTGCTGGACTCGCCTACGTGAAGTCCGAGCTGTTGAAGAGACACACGTGCACAGACCTGGGTGAACTGCGCAGCTACCTTGGCTTGCAGATCACTCGGGACAGAGCACGTCGCACCATTACCTTGACTCAGTCACACATGGTGCAGCAGGTCCTTCAGCGCTTCGGCTTCACGTACTCCTCGCCTCAGGCCACTCCTCTGCCTACTCGCCACTCACTCTCAGCTCTGCCTTCGGATGAGTCCGTAGAGTCGAGTGGTCCGTATGCGGAGCTTGTTGGCTGCCTCATGTACCTGATGACCTGCACACGACCTGACCTTGCATACCCTTTGAGTATTCTTGCACGCTATGTTGCTCCTGGGAGACACAGACCGGAGCACATGGCTGCAGCGAAGAGGGTATTGCGCTACCTGTGCAGTACGTCAGGCATGGGGCTAGTGCTTGGAGGGCGGAGTCCAGTGGTCCTTACCGGCCACGCGGACGCGTCTTGGGCTGACGACCAGGCTACGCAGCGGTCGTCACAGGGTTACACCTTCAGCCTTGGTTCCGGCTCTGTCTCGTGGCGGTCTACTCGCTCGTCTTCGGTTCTCGGCTCCAGTTGTGAGGCTGAGATCTACGCCGGGGCCATGGCTGCACAGGAGCTTCGCTGGCTCACCTACCTGCTGACTGACCTTGGAGAGCCGCCTCGTTCTCCTCCAGTGCTGTACGTAGACAACAAGGCTATGCTGGCCTTGTGTCGAGAGCAGCGCTTGGAGCACAGAACGAAGCACATTGCTCTCCGCTACTTCCTTGCTCGTGAGCTGCAGCAGCGTGGTCAGTTGCGACTTGCGTACGTGGCCTCTGAGGCCAACACTGCTGATGTGTTCACCAAGGCACTTGCGCCTTGTGACCATCAGCGCTTCTGCACCCAGCTGGGTCTTGTGCCTGTCTTGCCTCACTTGCTCTCCTCTTGACTTCACTTGTACTGTGACATATATATATACCTGCTCTTGCTTGTCTAGCTTTATATATATGTCTGTACTCTTGCTTGTGAACTGGCCTTTGGCCTTGCTCTTGTGCTCGGACTGTGTGGTGACTTTGTGATCCACCCTGAGCTTTGCTTTGTCTTGCTTGACTGGTCTTGTGACCCCTTGTTCTCCCCCACTTTGCCTATGGGGGTGTGTCAGAACATATCTATAGCTTATACTGCTGTGTAGGCTGTAGTGGGGTATCCCATAGGGGGTACAACCCAGTTAGGGTTTCATATTTGTACTGCTTTCATTCATAGTTCATTCATTCCTGTTTTCCTATTCTCACAGCTATGTACCAATTACAATACAGTACCCTATAAACAATAGGACGAATGTCGAAAACCAGTGCGTAGTGTCTGGAATTCTAAACCAAATTACCTGCATACTGCAGATAACATAAAACACATGTAAAACAGAAAACCTGCACACAATGTAAACGAGCCAACGTATATCGGCTAAAGTGAAAACTGAGAAGCAAGGAGTCAGAAAAAAAAACACGATGTCCCAACACTACAGGACAAGGCAAATGCCACATGCAACGAAATGTGAAACCTGTAACCAGATCGCGACACCCGCGACTTCAAAACAAACCATCCCTGAATGGGCAAACAGTGGCAAAGTTACAAAGGGAGACTACGTGGCACAATTCACGGCTGTGTCTCATCAAAACCAGCTCGACACGGACCTGACCCTAAATTGTCAAACCTCGGCCGTTCGAGTCAGCCTAATGAATGGTAGATTGAGACAGAATATAAACGATCAGCCGTCAGTTTCGATAATTTCTAGTTCGACCGACACATCCAGCAGGAAACCTATGGTTTCCATTTGCCCCCCCCTCTCAGAGGACTCACGGGCAAATCCCTCGGGCCTGTATTTGGCTAACCAGGGATTTTTCCGATGCCCCTTTTCCCCCTCCCTTTTCTTCTCCTGCTCTCTCCCCACCGCAGATGAAAGAAAGGAAGCGGCGGGTTACTCTCCTTCCCCGCATTTGATCTTGCTGCACGCGTGTATCCAGTTGGTTGGTCAAGCACGGACTGATTGCAACAACGGCTCTGCAATCAGACCTCGCCACGTGGTAGCACCTCTACATCAGTAGTCACCTCCACAGGCCTCTACTGCTGCTTTGCTGTGGGGCTCCCTGCCTTGCCTTTCCCCGACTAAGCCCTCCCTTTCACACATGTGCAAATGCATGCACACCATACACACAAGCAAGCATGCATGGTAACAACTCGCTTTGCGCACCTGCGCTACCCACCAGCTCTATTCCTGTCTGCTCACGTTTTTTGCTAGTAGCATCGCTTGCTTTTTATAAGGTGAATAAAAAAAGAACAATCAATGCTGCATTTGAGTTCCAGTATGTTGGTGGGTGTGCAGGTGGATATTCTTATCCCTCATGATCACACTCTCTCGTTACAATCGCACAACCTGCGAGCAGCTGTGGCACTTTATCTGCCCTCGCCATATCAGCATGAGCTGTACGAGGCGATTTGCAGCATCTCAGCAAGGTATGTGCGGGCAGGTATGTGTGTGTGCGGGCAGGTATGTGTGTGTGTGGGCAGGTATGTGTGTGTGTGGGCAGGTATTTGTGTGCTGGCTGGCAGGTACTTGTGTGTGGGCAGGTATTTGTGTGCTGGCTGGCAGGTACTTGTGTGTGGGCAGGTGTTTGTGTGCTGGCTGGCAGGTACTTGTGTGTGGGCAAGTATTTGTGTGCTGGTTGGCAGGTACTTGTGTGTGGGCAGGTATTTGTGTGCTGGCTGGCAGGTACTTGTGTGTGGGCAGGTATTTGTGTGCTGGCTGGCAGGTACTTGTGTGTGGGCAGGTATTTGTGTGCTGGCTGGCAGGTACTTGTGTGTGGGCAGGTATTTGTGTGCTGGCTGGCAGGTACTTGTGTGTGGGCAGGTATTTGTGTGCTGGCTAGCAGGTACTTGTGTGTGGGCAGGTATTTGTGTGCTGGCTGGCAGGTACTTGTGTGTGGGCAGGTATTTGTGTGCTGGCTGGCAGGTACTTGTGTGTGGGCAGGTATTTGTGTGCTGGCTGGCAGGTACTTGTGCGCTGGCTGGCAGGTATTTGTGTGCTGGCTGGCAGGTACTTGTGTGTGGGCAGGTATTTGTGTGTTGGCTGGCAGGTACTTGTGTGTGGGCAGGTATTTGTGGGCTGTCAGGTGGGGTGTGCTGTCAGGTGGGGTGTGCTCTTCTTCCCAGCCCTCCTCCCTCCCAACCCTCGCCCATATCAACCTCTCTGACAACCCGCTTCCACTCTCCCCACTCGCCCACATCGACGCCTCTCGTGCCTCTGTGCTGCTGCCACTCGCCTCTCTTCCCTCGCTGCGCTCTTTGCAAGTAAGTGCGGTGCTGCTGGGTGCTGGTGGGTGCTGCTGGGTGTTGGTGGGTGCTGCTGTGTGATGGTGGGCGTGGCTGGTTCTGGTGGTGCTGCTTTGTGCTGATCAGAGCAGTGAGGGGAACTTTGCATTGCTGCCCTTCGCCTTGCTTCCCTCACTGCCCCACCTCCCCCGTCTCCCCTCCCTCGCTCTCACCCTGATGTAACCTTAACACGCGTGATCATGCTCTCCCCTTGTTTGACCCTCCTTCCCTCTGCTTTCCTCCCTCCCTTTTCCTCCATGCCTGCCCTCCTCCCCTCTGCTCTCATCCCCTTCTTCTCTCCGCCCTCCCTTCTCCTCCCTTTCTGCCCTCCTCCCCTCTGCTCTCATCCCCTTGTGCTCTTCTTCCCTCTGCCCCCCCTCGTTTTCTTCCCTACATCATCGTGTGCCCCTCTCGACCTCCCCAGGTAGACCTAGAAGGCTCTTTCCTTTTTTACCCATACAATAGAGCATCCACTCTCCCCCACCTCTCCTCCCACCCCGCTGCAACCTTCCTCCCTCCCTCTCCCCTCCTCCCCTCTCCCTCTCCCCTCCTCCCCGTCCCTCTCCCCTGTCTTTTCCAGGTAGACCTAGAAGGCCCCTTCCCCTTCGATCCATCGCATCCACTCTCCCCCGCCTCTCCTCCCTCAACAGAGCTCTGCTCTCCTCCTTCATGCGGGGAGGTTCCTGGATGTTTCCTCGCCTGCCAGCCTGGCAGCCCGGCACGCCATTGGTGGATCGAGTGCTGCATGCCATGTGGCACCACGTGTGCAGCTACAAGCTCGCCACTGAAACACAGCTGGATGAGAGTGCTGTGTGGTGAGTATTAGAGCACCGCACCACACTTTACTGCACCGCACTGCACTGCACCGCGCTGCACTGCACAGCACTGCGCTGCATTGTAGTGCTTTGCACCAATTGTCCAAGCACTGTCTAGGCTTGTTCGGTGCTGCTGCATGCCATGTGGCACCACGAGTGCAGCTACAAGCTTGCTACTGAAACTTAACTGGACCACAGTGTGGTGTAGTGAGTGAGGGAGTATCCATGCACCGGATTGCACTGCCACTGCACCGCACTGCACTGTATTTGGCCCGAATGACCAAGCCGTAACTAGGTATGCGCTGGGTGCTGCATGCCATGTTGCGCCGCGTGTGCTGCTACAAGCTCGCGACCAAGACACAGCTGGACTAGAGTACAGTGCAGTTTGGTGAGTGGGTATGCTTGCACCGCACTTCACCGCACTGCACTGCACTGCATCTAGTCCAACACTCCAAGTGACCGAGCAGAGCAGGGACTCGGTCTGCTGGATGGATGCTGCATGCCTGTGGTGCAGCATCCATCCAGCAGACCGAGTGGTGCACACCATGAGTTCCTTATCCTCTTTCCATGCAAGAACATGTTATGACTTATCCCCTTCTTCCGCCAAGTCCTTTTTCCACCCTTACACCCCTTCTTCCCCTCTCTCTCCCCAACCCCTTTACTCCCCCCTCCCCCACTCCTCCCCCCCTACACACCCATCACACCTTCCACTCCAACCCCACATATCCCCCTCACTCCCCGCATTCCTCCCGCTCCCGCCACTCCCCTCCCGACACCCATCAGGTACGTGATGGACGAGTTTGGCAGTGCCTGCCTTCCGGCACAGCGACCAACCCAAGTTCCTCTTGTTTCCCTCTTTACGCCCCTCCCATAAGCCCACACTCCCCACCATTATCACCCCACTCTCCCCCACTCTGTCCCTTCCCTCGCCCTCCTTCCCCCAACACCCACCCACCAGGTACGTGATGGACGAGTTCGGCAGTGCCTTCCATCACAGCACCTCAGTAACTCAGTTCATGTTGCTATGCCCTCTCCCCACTTATCCCCTCCTTGTCTCTCCCTTCCCCCCTCCCACCCATCAGGTACGTGATGGACGAGTTTGGCAGTGCCTTCCGTCACAGCGACCGACCCAACTTCCGCTGTGCGCCCTTCCTCTTCCTGCTGGATGGCTCCTTCGCCTCTGCTCTCAGGTGAGTGGGCGTGTGGGGGTGTGCTCTCAGGTGGGGGGGGTGTACTCTCAGGTGGGGGGGATGTGTTCTCAGGTGGGGGGGATGTGTTCTCAGGTGGGGGGGGTGTGCTGTCAGGTGTTTTTTAGTAAGGTGTTTTCAGGTGGGTCACCCTTCTTCTTCTCTCTATTCGGTCACCCATGTCCTCCCTACTCCCCCCCTTCGGCTACTCCATCGTGTGGCCGATGGCAACAGTGCAGGCTGGAGAGGAGTGCACGAGGGACTATCTTGCGGGGGTGGGGGGGGGGGGGGGGTATTTGTCACATATTCTGATATTCAGCGTTCCAGCTATTCTCACACATCGCCCCTTTTTCTGCCCTCCCTGGCCCTGCCCTGCCCCTCCCTCACCTCCCCCCCTCCAGCTACTCCATCTTGTGGCCGGTGGCAGCAGTGCAGCCGGGGGAGGAGTGCACGAGGGACTATCTCGCCGGGGTGGGGGAGGAGCACCAACGCTCACCCAAGCTGTGCGTGTGGTTCCACACGCCCTCAAGCGCCTTCCACCAAGTATGGCTATTCTTTTATCTCACTTTCCTAGTCACATTCAAGGGCAGCGCTCGACTTTTGAGTCGACTCTAAAGCGCTCACCCAAGCTGTCCGTGTGGTTCCACACGTGCAGCAAGTATACAGCTCTGCTCTCTCCCTTTTCTGTTCGATGCTAAGGGCACACATCTCTGCGGTTCTACAAACCCCCTCCACCTGCTTCCAGCAAGTTAAGCACCTGTTGTTTTGAGTTCGCAATGCCCCTCCACTCCCTCCTCTCGTCACACAACTCCTCTCACCGCACACACAACCCATCTCGTACCACCCGGCTCCCCACCCCTAGCCTAAAACCAGCACCTATGCAAGTTCGCATTACACCTCCTCTCCCCTCCCTTCAGCCCTCATCATCTCATCACACTCCCCACTCCCCATCTCACCATTTCCATCCCACCCCAACCCAGGCATACGAGCGGTGCTTGTGCAGGTTCGCAGCACACTCCTCACTCCCCCTTCACCTCCCACCGCCGCATTCCCCACTTCCCACTCCCCGTCTCACCCATTTCCACCCCATCCCACCCCAACCCAGGCTTATGAGCAGCGCCTGTGCAGGTTCGCAGCAGCAACCACAAAGCACGCAGAAGCTACCGCTCTCCTTGCCTCTACTGCATCCGACAATAAAGAGGACAAGGGAGGAGAAGGAAAGGCGAGTGAATCGGCAGACAAACCGGAGAGAACAGAATTGGAGAAGCGGGTGTATCGAGTGTTCACGGATCTGCCCTATGTCACTGACAACCTCTCCCGCCCCGAGTTTACTTTTGGTGAGCTCTGGTGGGGCAAGCAGAAGAAAGGAGGGGCTAGCAGAGGAAGCAGAGGAAGCGCGTGCATCGAGTCTCCGGCAATCTTCCCTATGGCCGTGACACACAATAGGCCATTCATCATGTCGCGCCCTCTACCTCTCACCCTTATCTATCTATCGAATATGTCAGTGTCTTTCATTTGTGAGGCACCTGAAAGGTCTTTGAGTCATTGAGTAGCTCTCAAGTATGTATTCCTATCATGTGTACATGTAGCCTTTGCACCCAGCTTTCTTGTCCTCTCTTGCGCTGCACTGTCGTTTGGTGCTGGGCCGTGTTTTTTTAACTTAGCCTGGCATACTCCCATCCCATGCACATGCACTGCTACCAACCACTCAAAGCGGGAAATTAACTTGCTCACCCTGTGTATCAAATCAAATGGCCAAGCGCACATTATGTTTCACACAATGTGCTCGCTTCATGCTCATGATAATTTTAATTCCACCCGGCCATACATGCAGGTGGACGAGGCGTTTCGAGAGGCAACTGGGTTAAAGGAGAGGAGGAGCAAAGGAGAGCCAACTGGGCGGCTGGAGGTGTGAATCTTCATGCACGTGTTAACCCTCTCTCCCAAACAACCCCCAATCCTCAAACTGCCCCCCCTCCCCCAGTAGACACCCCTAGCGAGGCGGACATCATCTGGACGAGCATGCAGGTAGACGATGCGTTTTGAGAGGCGGCTGGGCTGAAGGGGAGAAGGGAGAAGGGCGGGCCAGAGCCGCTTGTGAACCAGTTCCCATTTGAGGCATGCATTGTCATGAAGCATCACCTGGCGAAGACCATACAGCAGGTGCGTGGTGGAGACACAGGGAGGGCGGGGAGGGCCAAGGTAAGGCCAAGGGAGGGCTGGAGCCATTTGTGAACCACTTTCCATTTGAGGCATGCATTGTGATGAAACATCATCTGGCGAGGACCATCCAGCATGTGGGATGCGGTACGAATGGGTTACCAACTTGCTTGTTCTACAGTCGTTTGAGGCACGCATTGTGATGAAGCATCACCTGGCAAGGACGATCCAGTAGGTGCGTGGTGGAGGGGCAAGGGAGGGTGAGGAGGGCAGGGAGGGCAAAGAGGGCAAGGAGGGCAAGGGCCGTGTTCATATGCAGTCAGCATCATCTGCCATGTTGTTAGCAAAATACAGTCAGCTAACCCTTTGCTCCGATACGCCAGATACTCATTGCTTGCTGCCGGCTCAGTCTCCACGCATGCATGCATGCAGAGGAGTTTGCTCTGGTGCAAGGGCACGATAATCAATACTCTTATTGGACAACAAGCGATACATTAGCGGCAAGGTAAGCACATGTTTTAAGGGCAAAGCAAGCAGTACTATAACAAAAAATCAGCATTACTCTAAGGGCATGATAAGTTATACGCCATATAGTTTTTGCTTGTTGCTTTGGTCGCCGTGCGTGTGTATATGCCATATATGGGGGAACGATATGCTATACTTAAGGGTTCTCCTCGTGCCATACATCCCATACATGCAGTCAGAGCGAGCAGCACTGATGGGGTGCTGCATGTTCTCCTTTCGCACGCATGTGGGCTTCATAGCTTGCTCTTCTCCTGCTTTTGCGTGCAGTCACACGGCAACACGCGCCCCTGGTTACAAGACAATTTCGGCTTGTACCCGGAGAGAAGAAACATTGACATGGTGCCGTATGCTCTCCAGGTTCACCACCTTCACGAATGCCGCCCTACACACGTGTGTGTGATACTCTTTGCTACTCGCTCCTTGTGCAGGCATATGGCAACAACACGCGCCCCTGGCTTCAAGGCACCTACAACATGCACTCAAGGCTGGCAGCGCGGATGGAATGCTGTATGGATGTGTGTTCTCCCTGTTATGCTGGTGCTTGATCTCCTCTTCCCCTCCTCTTCCTCTTCCTCTTCTACTTCTCCGCTCTTACTCTTGCGTGCAGGCATACGGCCACATGCACGCACCCCTGGCTGCAAGATACATACGATATGCACTTAGAGCTAGCAGCGCTCATATGATGCTGTATTGTATGTGCCCCTAGCTACAGGACTCATGCAACATGCAGTCGGAGGAGATTCCATGGCAGCGAAATCGTGGCGTCTTCTATGCTCTCCCTCACATGCTTGTGCTTGTGTCGCTGTCGCTCTGCTGTTGTTCTGCTCCTGCATGCAGGCATACGGCAACACGCGCCCCTGGCTACAGGACACATACAACATGCAGTCGGAGATGGCAGCGCTGATAGGGTGCTTTAATTGGAGGGAGGCGGCAGCTGCTGCTGCTGCAGGGAAGCGGTTGACTGCCAGCTACGGAGGCAATGAGGCACCTGAGAGTGATGCAGGTAGGGCGTTGTGAACAGGCAAGGTGGATGGCCTTGGATGCTGATAGGGAGCTTCCAGCAGAGGGAGGCGGCTGCTGCTGCTGCTGCTGCTGCCGGGAGGCGAGTGATAGCTAGCTATGCGGGCCGTGAGGCTGCTCAGAAGAGTGAAGGTAAGAGCGCCGTGAGTAATGAATGAAGACATGTCAGGCATGCGATGGGAACTGGCAGCGCTGATAGGGTGCTCTCAGCAGAGGGAGGCGGCGGCTTCTGCTGCTGCTGCTGCTGCTGCTGCTGTTGCTACTGCTGCTGCTGCTGCTGGTGGTGGTGGTGGTGGTGGTGGTGGTGGTGGTGGGGGTCAAGTGATTTGCAGCTATGAGGACCGTGAGGTGGCTCAGAAGGTAGGTGGGTGTGCTGTGCACAATGAATGAAAAAATGATTGAATTAGTGAGTGAGTGAGTCAGTGAGTGGGGGAGTGAGTTAGTGAGGGAGTGAGAGAGGGAGTGAGTGAGTGAGTGAGTGAGTGGGTGCATGAGTGAGGGAGTGAAAGAGTGAGTGAGGGAGTGAGTGCATGAGTGTGTGAGTGAATGAGTGAGTGAGCGAGTGAATTTGTGAGTGAGCGAGTGAGCGAGTGAGTGAATGAGTGTGTGAGTGAGCGATACCCTTTATCTCCCCCTCTTCTCACTGCACTGTCCCCCACTCATTCGCATTGCTCCTCAGACCTCTCACATCCCCGTCTCCCCCAGTTTACCCCACAGACCCTGATCTCGCATATGGATGCTCCATGCCCTTCCCCCCTGTCCCACTGCCCTCTCTTCCTCCCCACCCCCCGCCCTCTCATTCCCCCGCCCCCTCCACCCCACAGACCCCAATCTGGACAACACGTGGATCTTAAAGCCGTGGAATCTCGCGCGCAGCATGGATGCAACAGTGTCGCGCCAACTGGCGCAGATCGTACGGCTGGCAGAGACCGGGCCGGAGGTCTGCCAGAAGTACATCTCCCGCCCCGCGCTCTTCCACGGGCGCAAGTTCGACCTGCGGTTCTTGCTGCTGCTGAAGAGGCTTAAACCGCTCGAGGCATACCTCTCCGATGTGTTCTGGGTGAGTGAGTTGACGGGAGGAAGTGGGTTGGGTGGAATGCTGCTTGCCTGCTGCTCGCTGAGCTCTTCCACGAGAGGAAGTTTGACCTGCGCTTCCTGCTGCTGCTCAAGCGGCTGAAGCCGCTGGAGGCATATTTCTCAAACGTGTTCTGGGTGAGTGGTATGTCTGGCTGCTGCCTGCTGGTTGGTGGGTGGTTGCTTGAAGCGTCCCACAGCAAGGCAGACACTGGGCCAAAGGAGACGCCGGGCCAAGGCAGGGCAGAGAGCGGCCCCAAGGTCTGTCAGAAGTGCATCTCCCACCCCGCGCTCTTCCACGGGAGAAAGTTCGACCTGCGCTTCCTGCTGCTGCTCAAGCAGTTGCGGCCCTTGGAGGCTTATCTCTCCGACGTGTTCTGGGTGAGTTGGCTGACGTACTACTGTTCGCTGCTTGCTGCTTGCTGCGGGCTGGCTGGCTGGTGCTGGTGTGAGAGGCCTCACGTCACGGCAAGGCAGAGGCTAGGCTAAGAGGGAGGCCAGACTCCCTCAAGGTAGAGAGGGGCCCCAAGGTCTGTCAGAAGTACATCTCCCGCCCCGCGCTCTTCCACGGGCGCAAGTTCGACCTGCGCTTCCTGCTGCTGCTCAAGAAGCTGAGACCCCTTGAGGCGTACCTCTCAGACGTTTTCTGGGTGAGTGGGGTCGGGTGGGTTGCTGCTTGTTGGGCTGCGGCCCTTGCTGCCTGTTGAGTGTTGGCTGTGGTGCTCTTCCACGGGAGGAAGTTCGACTACGCTTCCTGCTGCTCAAACGGCTTAAACCGCTCAAGGCATACCTCTCCGATGTGTTCTAGGTGAGTTCATGCTCGATGGTTGCTTGCTGCTCTTCCACGGGAGAAAGTTCGACCTGCGCTTCCTGTTGCTACTGAAGAGACTCAAGCCATTGGAGGCATATCTCTCTGATGTCTTCTGGGTGAGTCGAGTTGTTGGGTGAACCCAGGGTTTTGGTGCTTGCTGCTGGGTGCTGGCCGGTGTTGGTATGTGGCGCCCACAGCAAGGCAGAGACTGGGCCAAATCATGGGCATTAGGTGGAGGCAAGCCAAGGCAGAGAGCGGCCCCAAGGTCTCAACTTTTGAAGCGGCTCCAAAGACTCGCCCTGTGCCTCCCCTCTCTTGCGTGCTTCATGTGACTCACCCCTCTTCTCTTTGCTTTCTCCACCAGGCTCGCATCGCCAACAAAAAGTATTCGCAAGCAGAGGACTCGCTATCGGACTTCCAGACACATTTCACTGTCATGGTAAGGTGTCAAGTGGTGTGGTGTGGTGTGGTGTGGTGAGGTGTGGTGTGGTATGGTGTGGTGTGGTGTGGTGGGGTGTGTTGTGGTGTAGTGCGGTGATGGTGTGGTGTGGTGCGGTATGGAACTGCTTCTTCTCCATTTAAAACATGTCATCACAGTACTAATTCATGCATAAGACATGACTATGGTACTTGTGACTCACCATATTCCTTGCTCACACACTAACACACACACACACACACACACACACACACATGCATGCACGCGCACACATGCATGCACGCGCGCATGCACACACACACACACACGCCCGCATGAGCCTGTGTGTCTGATATGTCCCCATCCTCCCATCCCTCTGTCCATCCTCCACTCCCTCTTTCCATTTCCACGTCCCCACGTTTTCTCTCATCATATCTACATCATATCTGCATAAGACATGACTATGGTACTTGTGACTCACCATATTCCTTGCTCACACACTAACACACACACACACACACACACACACACACACACACACACACACACATGCATGCACGCGCACACATGCATGCACGCGCGCATGCACACACACACACACACGCCCGCATGAGCCTGTGTGTCTGATATGTCCCCATCCTCCCATCCCTCTGTCCATCCTCCACTCCCTCTTTCCATTTCCACGTCCCCACGTTTTCTCTCATCATATCTCCCCACGTTTCCAAGTATGAGGACATGCTTTTGTTGACGTGCCATACTCTCCCCTGTCTCCCTCTCTCCATCCTCCCTTCCCTCTCTCCATCCTCCCCTCTCTTTCTCTCCATCCTCCCCTCTCCCTCTCTCATCAGAACTACAGCGGTCACAAGTACGAGCACGTGCCAACACACGAGTTTGTGCAGGCATTTGAGCAGGAGCACAGTGGTATGGATGGTGATGACGTGGTATGGATGGGTGATGACGTGGTAGGTTGGGTGATGACGTGGTATGGATGGTGATGACGTGGTATGGATGGGTGATGACGTGGTATGGATGGGTGATGACGTGGTATGGATGGTGATGACGTGGTATGGATGGGTGATGACGTGGTATGGATGGGTGATGACGTGGTATGGATGGGTGATGACGTGGTATGGATGGGTGATGACGTGGTATGGATGGTGATGACGTGGTATGGATGGGTGATGACGTGGTTTGGATGGGTGATGACGTGGTCTGATATGTATGGGGGTTGTCCCCTAGTCATGGCATGGTGTGGATGGGGAGTGACATGGTGACAGGCTTTGCTTGATGGATGCAGTGCATTTGCAGCCCGCTACTAGCACATGGCACCATGTTGTAAGGAGAACTCATCTTTGCTCTCCATTTCTTTTGCTCTTCAGACCCTCCCCCCTCCGCTCCCCCCTGCCCTCCTCCGCTTTCAGCAGCTTTACTTACACAGCTTTCCTCCCAAATTTCGTTTTCTTTAAACCTCCTTCCCCAACTTCCTTTCTGCCCGCCTCTGTCTATTTTGCATGCTTGCTGCAACAGTGACGTGGCAGTCCATTGACCAATCAGTGCAGAGAATGTTACGGGAGCTGCTGGCGGCAGCTGTCACTGTTCATCCTGAGATGCAACCAGATGAAGACACCTGTCGAGCAATCTACGGTGTGGATGTGATACTGGATGATCACTTCCAACCCAAGCTTCTAGAGGTTAGTCGTGCAATTTTCCCCTCATTTCTTGGTATTGACCATCCTTGTGCCCCACTTTACGTGGTTTGATCATAGTTTTATCCCTCCATATGTTAATTACCTGCATATGTTATGTGTTCATGTGGTCGTGTACAGGTAACATACTGCCCGGACTGCACGCGAGCTGTGACGTATGACATGAAGAGGATTTTCCCAAGACCTAGTACCGGCTCGGATGGCAACGGAGAAGCAGAAGATGAATCCGCGTGGCTGCGACCCAAACGCTTTTTCAACGACGTGTTTGGATGCCTCTTTCTTGGAGAGACCCAGAATGTGCGGCGCTTGTAAAACTTTCACTTCATGGTGCAGGTTATGAAACTCTTTGGCCGACTAGAAAAAAACATATCATCGAATTCTGTGTTTACACTGCAGCACCAATACGTGGGAGGGAGGGAGCCTTTCACCCAGTGCTGGGCATAATGAAATTCTTGTTGCGTTGAAACTTCTCTGGTCACGCTAAGTCCCCAATGAACCCCGCTCATAAACTGCGTTCATTATGGTAAGGTAAGCTTTTCTACTTTGGTTTCCATGCATCCTGAACGACATGCTTTCATTCAACGAATCAAGCAGTGGCCATTCTTTCTGACATCTTCCTTAAACGGCCAGCACACTACCGTATCGTGGATTGAGGCTGCTGCGATTTTGTAATCAGTGCACATAACTAATTCAATTCTGAACAAGAACTTGATTGGCTATTGCAGTACCATGTGCCATAAATGGTTCTAAGCACAGGTAAGCAGCAAGGCTCCACACGAATTGCCGTTCCCTTGTTTGCCCAGCTCACTCACAGCTGCTAGCCCAGGATAGCCCCTGACAGCTGGCAGTTTTGTGAATGTAAAATCAAAATAACAACAAGCACAGGCAGGCAGCAATTTCCCACACAAGTTGTAATTTCGTGGTTTGAACGAGCCTCTTGCTTCAATCTGCTCAGAGCAGGCGAAACAGCCCCTGACTCTCGGCTCTCTGCCAGTGTCCTATCGAATTGGTTCTATGAACAGGCCGGCATCGGGGAATCACACAAATCGGGGCTGCCTGGCTTAAACGCGCCTCGCTTTAGCTTGCTCAGAGCAGTTGGAACAGCCCCTGACAGCCGATTTCCCGCCAGCTGCACTTGCTGTACCCTCGCTGGCCAAACCGTGGGTATTTTCCCCGATACTCGGTTATATGACAACCCGAGTCCCTGCAACCATTTCATGTTGCTCACACCTGCGGGGATTGTTCCTGTGAGGGCGTTCTTGTCAAGGGTCAGAAGCTTGAGGCGGGTAAAGGAGCTGACTGTGGTGGGAATGGGGCCGGAGAGGCGGTTGGAGGAGAGGTAAAGATGGGTGAGGGAGGCGGAACAGGAGGGGGGGGAGAGTGGGGTGGGCGGGCCGGAGAGGGCGTTGGAGGCGAGATTGAGGATGGTGAGGGCCTGCTTGTCCTGGCAGAAGGCGGGGATGGGGCCTGTGGGGTGGGGGACGAACAAGGAGATAAGAGACGGGTCTTGATGGGCCTGGCAGATTTAGGGTTGGGGATGGCGGGGGCTTGATGGGCCTGAAAGGAGGAATTGGAGCCTGTAGTGAGAAAGTATGGTGAGGAACATGGAGAAGAGGGCAGGAAAGCAGGAAGAAAGAGTGGGAAGAGCGTGTGGTGAGAAAGCATACTTAGAGCTGACGAAATTTAGGGCTTCATGGGCCTTGCAGAAGGTGGGGCTAGGCCTGCGTGTTAGAGTAGAGTGGGGCAGGAGGGAAGGGGAGCAGGAGGGGGAGGAGAGAAGGGGGCGAAAGAGGGGTGGGCGGGCCGGAGAGGGCGTTGGAGGCGAGGTCTTGATGGGCCTAGCAGAAGGCGGGAAGAAAGAGTGGTAAGAGAGAGTGGTGAGAAAGCAGACTTAGAGGTGAGGAAGGTGAGGGCTTGATGGGCCTTGTAATAGGTGGGGATGGAGCCTGTGAGGCGGGGAAGGGGAGGTGAATGGAAAGTGAAGAACGTGAGAGCAGAGAGGGGCAAGAGAAGGGCAGTAGGAGGGAAGTTAGGAGAAAACTCAGACCCACAGGAATAAAGCAAGGGGAAGGGAGAGTGAAGGAGAGAGAAAGAGGGGTTGGATGAGAATGGGGGAGGGGTTACAAGGAAATGTACACGGACGGGGTAAAGGAAGTGAAGCTAAGAAGAGTGTGTTTACCAGGGTTAAGGAATGTAAAAGGCATGCTGGCTCGGACAGAGAAGGGGAATGGGTGGAAAGTATCCCAAAAAAAAAAGCGGACACAAGTGAGGAGTGTGTGGGTGAAGTGATGTTTGGGTAAACATGATGGATGACTCTCTCTCTTCATACCGCATGGATTCCCAGCCAGCTTACCTGTCAGAGTGTTTGCCCCGAGGTCCAAATAGCTAAGATAGGGTAAAGTGGTGAGACCTTGGGGAATTCCCCCTGTAAACTTGTTGAATCCCAGGTCCACATCCATGATCCCAGGTTCGAAAACGGCTGCAAGCTGCCCGAGAAATTGTTGTGGCTTAAAGAGAGTACGGCCAGCAAAGGATTTGTGGGCTTGAAGCAGTTGGCTGGAACGGCTCCGGTCAGGCTATTGTGCGAGAAATGGGCTATTGCAGGGCTGTTTAAACGGCATAAGATCTACGGAAAGGAGCCCAAAAACAAATTATATGAAACGTAGACAAATAGTAGCAACTCGCTGAAACGGATCGTGTTGAAGTTTCCAGCTAGCCTGTTCTGGCTTAAGTTAATATCTTGGGCGTTTATTTGCAGCCTGCTCAAGTCGCCGGAAAGCTTGTTTTGAGACAAGCTAAGTGATGACAATTCTCTTTTCAGCAGAGCAGGTGGAATTTTCTCGGACAGCATGTTCGTGTTTAACCCTAAAAACCGAAGCTTCGGCAGCATCGCGAGGGCAGCGGGAATTTGCCCGGACAACCAATTGTATCCGAGATCCAACTCCTCCAGCTAAACCCAATGCGGCGTACGCAGCAGCACGTTGTGGTAACCCGCCGGAGAAGAAATTTGTCGACGCGATCAGGGTTCTAAGCTTTGGCAGGCGAAAAAAGGCGACTGGAAGAGGACCAGCGACACAATTATGATTATGGTTGAGGGTCTCGAGTTTTGTAAGCCGGGAAAGGGATCGCGGGACCATACCAGCAAGCCAGAGGTTAAACATACGAAGCTCGATGACTTCTGTTAGCTGGCCGATAGATGCGGCGAGGATTGCGGGGAACTTTTCTCCAGGTTCGCGCGTAGTACGGTTGCAAAGGCAGGGCGTGGGTGGGCGCAAGAGAAGGCTAACGGTGCTCGCGAGGTTTAGTTTTACAACAGCGCCGTTCAAGGCACATGACACGCCGGGCCACGTGTCAAGGTGAGAGAGGAATGATGTCGACTAGTTTGGGGCATGGGGTACAAAAGTGACGAGAGAAAAGTTGTACCCCCTAAGAAACACCCCTACAAAACCTAAACCTAAATTATATAGATCATATAATTTGACACACCCCCATAGGTGAAGTAGGGGGATAGCCAAACCTAACAGGGGTCACAAGACCAGTTCACATGCAGGTTTATAACACAACAAGAGATACAGTGATCACATCCTAGCAAAAGTAAACATGCAGGCATATATATATATATATAGTGATCACAGTACAAGCAGGGTCAAGAAGTAAGCAAGTGAGGTCCAGTAGGTACAAGGCCTAGCAGAGTGCAAAAGCGCTGATGGTCAACAGGCGGAAGCGCCTTGGTGAACACATCAGCAGTGTTGGCCTCAGTGGCCACGTAACGCAGACAAAGCTGACCACGCTGCTGCAGCTCTCGAGCAAGAAAGTACCGCAGAGCAATGTGCTTCGTTCTGTGCTCCAGTCTGTGCTCCTGACACAAGGCAATGGCAGCCTTGTTGTCGACGTACAACACTGGAGGAGAACCAGGCCGCTCTCCAAGGTCGGTCAGCAGGTAGGTCAGCCAGCGTAGCTCCTGGGCAGCCATGGCTGTGGCGTAGATCTCAGCCTCACAACTGGAGCTGAGAACAGAAGAAGAGCGTGTAGAACGCCAGGAAACTGAGCCTGAGCCAAGGCTGAAGGTGTAACCCTGTGACGACCGCTGAGTAGCCTGGTCGTCTGCCCAAGAAGCGTCTGAGTGCCCTGTGAGAACAGGCCGGTCTCGCCCTCCAAGCACTAGCCCCATGCCCGACGTACTGCACAAGTAGCGCAACACCCTCTTAGCTGCATCCATGTGCTCCTTCCGGTGACGGCCAGGAGCGACATAGCGTGCAAGGATGCTAAGAGGGTATGCAAGGTCAGGTCGAGTGCAGGTCATCAGGTACATGAGGCAACCCACAAGCTCTGGATACGGGCCACTCGGCTCTACGGACTCATCCGAAGGCAGAGCTGAGAGCGAGTGTCCCGTAGGCAGAGGAGTGGGCTGAGGCGAGGAGTACGTGAAGCGGAAGCGCTGAAGGACCTGCTGCACCATGTGTGACTGAGTCAGGGTGATGGTGCGCCGTGCTCTGTCCCGGGTGATCCGCAAGCCAAGGTAGCTTGTCAGTTCACCCAGGTCTGTGCACGTGTGTCTCTTCTGCAGCTCCAACTTCACGTGGGCGAGACCAGCTCTGTCCGCTGTGGCAAAGACCAAGTCGTCGACGTACACGAGAATGTAGAACGGCGGCAGCGAGGTGTCGGTGCGTAGAAACAGCGACGGGTCAGCAGTAGAGGGAGCAAACCCAAGAGCCGCAAGTGTCGTGCTCAGTGTGTCGTGCCACTCACGCGGTGCCTGGCGGAGACCGTAGACCGGCCGCTGAAGCCTCCACTGGGTGCCAGGGGGAACCGACCCAGTGAAGCCAGGAGGGCGGCGCAGCCAGATCTCCTCGTGCAGGCTGCCCTGCAAGAAAGCTGTGCTGAAGTCAAGAGAGTGAAGCTCGTAGTCGCGCTGAGCGGCTATGTGCAGCAGCACCCGAAGAGTAGTCATCTTCGGGGTGGGGGAGAAGGTCTGAAAGAAGTCGACTCCCTCTCGCTGACTGAAGCCCCTAGCCACGTAGCGCGCCTTGAAGACAGGCGGAGAACCCGGCGGTCGCTTCACCCTGAAAATCCACATGCCACTGACGATGTTCGCCCCAGGAGGGGGAACCTCGTCGACGTAAGTGCCAGTGGACTTCCAGGAAGCCATCTCTGCGTCCATGGCTGTCTGCCACTGAGAGGAGTAGGGACCCGCCATCGCCTCAGTGTAGGAGCGCGGGGTCGGGATGTCTGGTGCATCCGGGTCTCCCTCAGGGGCAACAAGCATGGACACGAGATGAGGCACAGCAGCAGCAAAGCAGTGAAACTCCTCCTGTCTGTCCTCAAGGACGTCCGTACCAAGAGCACACTCACCCCCGACGGACGGAGGACAGGCAGACTGAGACTCAGCAACTAGGCTAGCAGCGTAGTCCAGGCGACAGCGAGAAGCAAAGTCAACCAGCTCAGCGACCAGAGCAGACGCAGCAGCGGACTCAAAAGACGGGTCAGTGACGATAGTAGCGAGAAAACGTGTGACAGTGGGACTGGCAGCACGACGGGAGTCAGACTCCGGGTCAGGAAGAGTAGGCAGCGAAGACTCAGGAGGAGACGGCAGCGGGACACGCTGCGGAGCAGTGGAGGGACGCAGAGTCATGTAGTGAGTGCCCGGGACAGGAGGAGGACGCTCACGCGGGGCACGACGACCGGTGCGCGCAGTACGGACAGGCGACGCTGGACGTGACTCAGGCGCACGACGCTCAGTAAGGCCTCCCGTGGGACCAGTGTAGGGAGAGGGACCAGGGAGAGGGGAGGCGGGCGGTAACTGTGACTGCGACTGGACTGGCGTGAGACCAAGAACCTGCTGAAGGAGCGGGACAAAGTAGGGTCGCGGCCGCGTAGCGGCTCCAGAACCAGTAGAGACAGCAGCGGCGGGGTCCTCAGCACCAGCGACAACGCCAACGTCCGGGTCCGCAGCACCAGCAGCAGCTCCAACGCCCGGGTCCTCAGCACCAGCGACAACGCCAACGTCCGGGTCCTCAGCACCAGCAGCAGCTCCAACACCCGGGTCCTCAGCACCAGCGACAACGCCAACGTCCGGGTCCTCAGCACCAGCGACAACGCCAGTGTCCGGGTCCGCAGCACCAGCAGCAGCTCCAACGCCCGGGTCCGCAGCACCAGTGACAACACCAGCGTCCGGGTCCGCAGCACCAGCAGCAGCTCCAACGCCCGGGTCCTCAGCACCAGCGACAACGCCAACGTCCAGGTCCTCAGCACCAGGGGCACCACTCCGGAGACTGCAGCGCCGCGCGTACCACTCTCGGATCTGCTGAATGGGGGGGAGCTCCTGGGCAGGAGGGGAAATACTGGGACGAGCTCCAGAAGCTCCGCTCCGGAGGCGACAGTACTGTAGGTACCTCTCCTGCAGCTGCTGGGAGGAGAGAGCTCCTCCAGACGTAGTGCGCTCAGGCTCAACACCCCCAGACGCAGCACCCCCAGTCGCCACACCCCCAGGCTCCGCACCCCCAGGCTCAGTACCCCCAGGCTCCGCACCCCCAGGCTCGGGACTGTCAGGCTCCGCACTCTCAGGCTCAGCACCTCTGGCAGGGCGGGACTCGACAGCTATCTCAACAGGGTCAACCGGGTCTACCTGGGACACACCTGAGGGAGCGGCACCCTGAGGGGGGAGGGGGTCTACCACAGCAGCACCTGGTGCGAGGAAGAGCGGCGGTGGGGGGAGTGGGGCAGTGCGGTAGGGGAAGAGGCGGTAGAAGGGGACAGACTCGTCAAAAGTGACGTCCTGAGAGGCCAGAACCCGGCGCGAGGCGACGTGGTAAAACTGCCAGCCAGGCGCGTCGGGGACAAAGCCAAGAAAGACACAGGGAACAGCGCGACGCGAGATCTTGTCCGCAGACGTATCGCGGACAAAGGCTCGGGATCCCC